GGCGGGCGGAGACAGGAAGGATAGAGACAAGCGGAACAAGGGAGGGATTATTGATGGATGTTTGGGAGAGTGAGGATTGTTTGATTGTGAGCTTGTTCAGGGAAAGGAGGGGGAGTGAGGCGGGTGCAGGAGAAGAAGGGAGTCACGGAGGGAGGCAGAGGGCATGAGGTGAGGAAGTGCACAAGGATTTGGATACAGTTCGAATGCGAAACGACTTCAGATGGATGCTCGTTCCCCTCTCCTCCCTTCGTCATCCTTCTCTGCTCCATCCTCTCCGTTTCTCCTCTGTTCCCCCCTTCCCCTTCCCTTTGCCTCTCCACTCCACCTGCCCCTAACTCCCGAACTCCCTCCTTCCTCATTCCCTCTGCCTCCCTCCGTGACTCCCTCCTTCTCCTGCACCCGCCTCACTCCCGCTCTTTCCCCCTTCCTGCCTGCTCGCTCCCTCCCACCATCTTGTCCCCCCATCCTCTCTCATCACTCGTCCCTCCCTCCTTTCCCTCACTCCATTCTGCCTTCTCCCTCGCTCCCCTCACTCACCCATTCCCTCACTCCCGTTCTCCCATTCTCCTCTTCTCGTCGTTGCCCTGCCCCTCTCCTCCCCCCGTCGTTCCCCCCTGCTCTCCCACGTCCTTCCCGCTTCCCTCTCACTCCTCCTCCTCCCTCACCCTTTGCCCCCTCCCGTTCTCCGACCTTCTCCCCTCGCGCCTCCACATGACATCTCCGCTCCCCTGCCCCCAGACCCCTCACTCATCTCTCCCCCTCCTCATCCCGAAGAGGGGTGACGAGGCGGGCAAGAAGCATGGAGGGCGAGCGAGTAAGAGGAGGAGAAGTACTAGGAGGAGGAGGAGGAGAAGGAATAGGAGGAGGAGGAGAAAAGGGAGTGGGAGGAGGAGGAGGAGGAGGAGGAGAAGGAGGAGGAGGAGTGAGAATGACGAGGAGGATGGCGATGATCATGATGATGAGGAGGGGGAGGAGTGCAATGATGCTGTGGATGAGGAGCAACGCGATCATTGAGGGGGATGGGTACTGAGAGGGGCACCGAGGAGGATGAGTGGGATACGGGGCAGGATGCGTGGGAGAGCAGGAGCTGTGACGATGAATGCAAAGGAGGAGGAAGAGGAGTGATGTGACGATCCATCTGGGAACATTAGATACGATGAGATCTGCTGCGGCAAGGTTGCTATTGATAAGTTTGATACGTACGGATACGCTTCCGCTTGCAATTTGAGATACGGCCCTGCTGCTCTACATATGCTTGACAATGGATATGTTAGGGTACGCGGACACCCCCGCACATACAGGAGAAGCCAATATAACATACATAGCTATAGCATGTTCCTGTCAGCAAGCTAGGTGCGGAGGGCTCCCCACTGAGGCTGGGGCACGATTGCATTTTCATGCAGCTACAGTGTTCGGATCTGTCGTGGGGTCCCCGGTTCCCGGCCCTGCCCTTGGCCCCCGGCCCCGGGCGGGGCCCCACCCGTTCCCGTCCCCGGACCCTGGCCCCAGCCACCCGCCCCCGGCCCCCCACCCCCGGACCCCGGCCCCCGGCCTGGACCGCAGCTCATGTTATGAATCCGAGCGCGGCCATCGGAATCTGCAATCGTCGTCCCTGTCGGGCTCCAGAGGCTGGAAACTGGAGGACGTCTCCAGCTGGAGCCCCGCCTGTGAGTGAACGGCGACGAAGTCTCGAGCGGGAGCTCCCTCTGTGGGGCTGGCAGACGATGTTACTAAACCGAGCGGGTCATCGGAATCCTGTAAACAAGCAGAGGGCAGCAGAAAGCAGCAGAGACCAGCAGAGACCCACACAGAGCAGCAGAGAGCAGCATAGATCGGCAGAGACAAGCAGAGAGCAGTAGAGACCAGCAGAGACCAGCAACGACTGCCAGAGAGCAGCAGACACCAGCGGACACCGGCAGACACCAGCACGGAGTTGCAGAGAGCAGCAGAGACCGGCAAAGAGCAGCAGGGAGCAGCACAGAGAATCAGAGGGCATCAAGGTCAGCAGAACTCAGCACTGAACAGCAGAGGGCAGCAGAGAGCAGCAGAGGGCAGCTCGAAGTTCAGCAGAGAGCAGCAGAGAGCAGAAGAGAGCAGCAGATAGCAGCAGAGAGCAGCACGGAAAAGAGCAGAGAACATCAGAGAACTGTAGAGCCAAACAGAGAGCATTCGAGACAAGCAGAGGACAGGAGAGAGCAGCAGGGAGCAGCTGAGAGCAGAAGTGAGCAGATGTGAGCAGCAGTGAACGTCAGAGATCAGCAGAGAGCAGCAGAGACCAGCAGAGAGCAGCAGAGAGCAGCAGAGAGCAGCAGAGAGCAGCAGCGACCAGCAGAGAGCAGCAGACACCAGCAGACACCAGCAGAGAGTGGCGGAGAGTAGCAGAGCGCTTCAGGGGCCTGCAGAGAGCAGCAGGGACCTGCAGAGTTTAGCAGAGGGCAGCCGAGCTCAGAAGAGAGCAGCAAAGAGCAGCAGAGAGCTGCAGAGAGCTGCAGACAGTAGCAGCAGAGCAGTACAGAGACCAGCAGCGAACTGCAGGGAACAGAGGCAGCAATCAGCAGCAAAGACCAGCAGAGAGCAGCAGAAACCAGCAGAGAGCAGCAGAGAGAATCAGGCACCACCAGAGAGCCGCAGACAGGAGCCGAGACCAGCCGAGACAGCGGAGACCAGCAGGGAACAGCAGAGACAGGCCGAGACTAGCAGACAGCGGCAGAGACGAGCGGAGAGCAGCAGAGAGCAGCAGAGATTGCCACGCACCAGCAGACAGCAACAGAGACCAGCATAGAGAAGCAGAGAGCTGCAGGGAGACCACGAGACCAGCAATGACGAGCAGAGACCTGCAGAGAGAAGCAGACAGCAGCAGAAGGCAGCAGCGCGCAGCAGAGAGCAGCCCGGAGAGCAGCAGAAGGCAGCAGACAGCAGCAGTGAACAGCAACGAGCAGAAGACTCAGCCAGAGAGCAGTAAAGACCGGCAGAGGACAGCAGAGAGCAGCAGAGCCCAGCAGAGAGCAGCAGGAACAAGCCGAGGACAGCAGAGAGCAGCAGAGAGTGGCCGAGAGCAGAAGTGAGCAGCAAAGACCAGCAGAGAGCAGCAGAGTGCATATGTGAGCAGCAAAGACCATCAGCACACAGCGGAGACCATCCGAGACCAGCAGAGATGGCAGAGAGCAGCAGAGGGCAGCAGAGAATAGCAGAGACCATCCGAGACCAGCAGAGAGCAGCTGCAACTGGCAGAGAGCAGCCGACACCAGCAGACATCAGCAGTGAGCAGCAGACACCAGCAGAGAGCAGCAGAAACCAGTACAGACTTGCAGAGAGCAAGACAGAGCAGCAGACAGAAGCAGAGAGCAGCAGGGAGCAGCAGAGAGGAGCTCGGGTATTAGCAGAGAGCAGAAGTGAGGAACACTGAACACCAAAGACCAGCAAATAGCAGCAGAGAGCAGCACGGAAACCAGCAGAGAGCAGCAGAGTCCAACACAGCAGCAGAGACCAGCTGAGACCAGCTGAGAGCAGCAAAGACCAGCAGGGAACAGCAGACACCAGCAGGCACCAGCAGAGAGTGGCGGAGAGTAGCAGAGTGATTCAGGGGCCTGCAGAGAGCAGCATGGACCTGCAGAGTGCAGCAGAGGGCAGCAGAGGGCAGCCGAGGTCAGCAGAGAACAGCATAAGAGAGCGTCAGAGAGCAGCAGAGAGCATCAGAGGGCAGCCGAGTCAGCAGAGAGCTTCAGAGAGCAGCAGAGCAGAGAGTAGCAGAGCAGCAGCAGAGCAGCACGGTAACCAGCAGAGGGCAACAGGGAGCTGCAAAGCGGGCAGCAGAGCGAATCAGGCACCTCCAGAGAGCCGCAGACAGGAGCCGAGACCAGCCGAGACAGCGGAGACCAGCAGGGAACAGCAGAGACGGGCCGAGACCAGCAGACAGCAGCAGAGACGAGCGGAGAGCAGCAGAGAGCAGCAGAGATTGCCACGCACCAGCAGGCACCAGCAAGGAGCAGCAGACAGCAACAGAGACCAGGACAGAGAAGCAGAGAGCTGCAGGGAGACCACGAGACCAGCAATGACGAGCAGAGACCTGCAGAGAGCAGCTCGGAAAGCAGCAGAGAGCAGCAACGACCATAAGACACAAGCAGAGAACAGCACGGAGACCAGCAGAGGACAGCCGAACAGCAGAGAGCAGCAGAAGCAAGCAGAGTGCAGCAGAGACCAGCAGAGAGCGGCAGAGAGCAGAAGGGACGAGCAAGGAGCGGCAGACAGCAGAGGAGAGCAGCAGAGAGCAGATGTGAGCAGCAGAAACCAGCGGAGCGCAGCAGAGACCAGCAGAGACCAGCAGAAAGTAGCACAGACCAGCAGAGACCAGCAGAGAATATCAGTGACCAGGAGAGACCAGCAGGCAGCAGCAGCGACTGGCAGAGAGCAGGAGAAACCAGCAGACACCAGCAGAGAGCAGCAAAGACTGGCAGAGGTCAGCAGAGACCAGCAGAGACCAGCAGAGAGAAGCAACGGGCATCAGAGGTCAGCTGAGAGCAGCAGAGAACAGCAGAGGGCACCAGCGAGCAGCAGAGATTTGCACGGAGATCAGGAGAGAGAAGGAGTGAACAGCAGCAGAGGGCAGCAGTGAACACCAAAGACCAGCAGATAACGGCAGAGAGCAGCACGGCCGCTGTCCCCGGTCTCCAGTCCCTGGTCCTGGTCCCTGGTCCCCAGTTCCCGCGGTCTCCGGTCCCTGGTCTCCAGCAGTCCCCGGTCTCAGGTCTCCGGTCCCCGGCCCCTGGTCCCTGGTCCGAGTCCCCAGTCCCCCGTCCCTGGCCCGTGGTCCCCAGCCCCCGGTGCCTCGGTTCTCGGTCCCTGGTCCCCAGCCCCCGCGGTCCCAGGTCCCGGGTCCCGATCCCCGGTCCCAAGTCCCCGGTCCCCGCGGTCCCCATGTCTCATGGCAAGCGGTCCCCGGTGCCCAGTCCCCGGTGCCCGGTCCCGGTCCCGGCAAAGTTCCACCGTTCCCCCCCTCCGAGGCGCACTCAGAGTGCACCTGGACCGAAAAGGCGGACGGCGGCCTCTACCACCAGTATTTCTACGACGTTGCTAGGCACGCGCGCACCCTCGAGGCGTGCAGGGAGTTTTGCTGCCGAGCGGCGGAGTGCAAGGCCATCAGGTTCTCCCCCACGGCCGTGGATGGCCCCGACCTGCAGTGCCTGCTGTACCCGCGAGGAGCCGAGGCGTGGAGCCTGGAGCAGCCCCTGTACAAGGACTACCGGGTCCACTTGAGGGGCGATGGGGTGATCGGGCGGGCGTTGTAGTGGTGGGTGACCCGGAGTGGGGGTGAAGAGAAGGGCGCCGAAGGGGCCATTTGGCCTGCAGGGCCCCTCTTGGGCTCCTGCTGGCTCCAAAGGGGGCCCTACAGGGCCCCTGCAGGGCCCTCCTTTTCTTCCCCCCCCGCCCATGTTGGTCACCCCCCGTTGCCACCCGCCCGAGGTCAGCGGCCAGCACGGCGAGGATCGGGGAACCAACAAGCATTGAAACATAAAAAACTCGGAAGTCCGCGCGGATTCCCCGAATCTGCGCTGGGGCCCCCTGGCGGCGCCTCCGACACCGCGTGGCGCGCCTCGCGCGCCAGGGACGGTGGGTGCATCGTCGATCCGAGAAGTCCGCGCGGACCTCCGAGTTATCATGCGAATGTTGTAAGAGGAAGCCAGCGGTCAGCAACAGGACCTGCTGGACAAGCCCTGGTGGGAGACGCGCAATCTGGAGGCTGCCCGCGTGGGGCCGAACGGCGAGCATCCCAGCGATGAGCTTGCCTGGCCGAGCCATCACTGTGGCTGCAGCCTGTCACACTTCACGATGTGGATGGACGCGCTGACCCGCGGGGTCGAAAACCTGATCATCTTCGAGAGCGACGGGTTCCCGTCCTGCCTGGAGAGCCAGTACATCGGCGGCAACGCCACCGACTTCAATGATCTCGTGTCCGCGCTGCCCTCGGCAGCTCCCGAGGGCTGGCACATCATCCTTCTGGACAAGGGCGTGTTCGGCGCGGAGCCGGGCGCTGCTCCAGTGGGCGTGATCCGACCGACCAGCAGCGACGGCTCGAGATCTCGAGCGTATACGCTGATTCCCTGGAAGGGCCACGACGTGGCGGGCGCCGCCGCGTACATGGTAAGCAGGCGATTCCTCGAGTGGTTCCCGGAAGAGATCCATGCCCGGGGGCTCGTCATGGTAGATGCGTGGATCAATTGGAAATGCAAAAACAAGCAGGCGCAGAATCCAAATCCGTTGCGCTGCTACAGCTACGTGGTTGAAGCTACAGACGAAGCCAAGGCTCGAGCCAAATGGTTCTGAACCTGACCCTTCAACGTTGATGGGAGAGCATCAACCTCGGCTGTCTGCAAATAGCGACGACTGGTTGCCTCCTTGGTTCTGTAGCGCACAGTTCCGTTCCCTCTTCCGCTGGAGGAAGGGGGAGCAGCGGAAAGGGGGAGACAGCAGGAGGAGACGTAAACACAAGATCACAGTACCAACAGCAAGAGCAACAGTTGTTCGAGAGCGTCACCATCGGGTGTTCTTGAGAGGAAAACAGGGAGAGCGGAAGAGGACCGAGGATGGACACGATACGGGCGCTGGCCAAGTTGTGGCAGATGCCCGCCGAACCTGAGCGTGCTGCGGTCGGCGACCTGCGTGCCTGGGGGACGCGCCGACGTCGGCCAGATGTGCCCTGGGCCCCAGACCTTCGCCCTTCCCCGCCCTTCCCCGGGGCAACGGCAAGAGGGGAGAGGAATAGGCGCACACAGGGGGGAACGCATCGACCCCCGATCGTCCATTCATCGCCGATAGGGGCCCGATAGCCCCACCCCGTCCAGGAAGGTTGGGATTTGCTATCGGGGGCCCATCGCCGATCTATCGGCGATGTATTGCCGATTCCAGGTCGATGTTTCCCCTTGTATGCCAGTCCCCCTATCGTTGCACCAAACCATCTGCACAACGCTGGCGTCGAGCATTCACGCCCACTCGCACGCGCAAGGCAATCACCACTTTGCTGCGCGGCCGCCAGTGGGCGCGCGTGCCGCGCAGGAGCTCCACCCCCACCTCCTGTACACCTGGGCACGGCGCCGCACAGGTCTCGCGGACGGGTCCCTGACAAGCAGAGCCGCCGCTCGCTGCAGCATCTCGTGCGCGCAACGTCTCGGGATCGAGCCCTCTCCTTCTGTCATTGGTCCGAAAGATACCCGTACCCGGGGCCAGCCAAGGTGAGATGGGCCGTCCAGGGAACTGGGCGCTTGCGATTGTGCCCGGTCAGCTTGCCCCGCGCGCGCCAGTGCAGCATCCGCGCGTCAAGACGCAACGGCGCGCTCGATGGTTGGGCGTCTGATTGCAGCGACAAGCGCTGGTTTTTGTTAGGGACGTCTCGGGGCATCGTGGTGCGCGCGCGGTTCAAAGCCGCCCATATGTGGCGGCGCCTGTCCCAATCGATAAAGAGTTGCATTTCCTCGCTATCCTGGCAACCAATGCGTCTGGGCCTGCCCTGAGGAACGACGTTGCAATGTCGCGCCCCCAAGGGGCCGCAGCGGCCACGTCAGGGACGGCTCTGGGGGGCATGAATGTGCTCGAGAGCGTCTTGGGCCTGCCGCCAGTCCGGCTAGGTACGGGGACCTGCCTGGAACCACCGAAACATACCCGGACCTAGCTGGGGTGAGCTGCGGCACCCCGGCTAGGTACGGGTATGTTTTTGGGGCTTTCATGGGGCAGCCGTACTTAGCTGGGGTGATCCGCAGACGGCCGTCCAAGGGGGGCGGCCTCTGGCGACCTCGCCCAGGGCAAGATTCGCGATGTCTCTGCATCGAGCAATTTGCGATAGGGCGGTTGTCGCGCAATGACGTTCGCGCCAGAGTTGTTCGCATGCGCCCCCGAGTGCGCGTTGACTCCTCAACGCCCGGATGTGTGTCTGGGGGCGCGCCTCCGCAGTAGCTGGTCTACGTCGACAACAACCAACGCAGGGTCGGGCGCTCCGCCGATCCGAACGCACGTGCGATCGGTGCTAACGTGCGCCCCGAGAGGACAGCGGTCTGCAATGCTCGATCGGCTGTCGTTTCTACACTTGTGCAGCCGCCGTCAGCTGCGACGAACCGCCCCCCCGGCCCCTTGCCACCCTGTCTAAGTAAGGATACGGGTATCTTTCGCGCTTGAGATTCTGGGGCCGCTGCCGCCGCGACATCCCCTGATGGAGGCGTGCGCCCCCCTGCTCGTGCCGCCCTGGTGCTCGAGGTCCGCCGATCGGGGGGCGAGTCTGGGGGCGGGGCACCACGCCTCTGCCCGAAGCTGCCTGCGCCTGCGTGAGTCGAGGCGCGGCCCCTCCTGTTGCCTTCCCCCCTCTGTCAGTGAAAGCTGTGCGCGGCCCGCTCAGCTTCGACCGGAAGAGGCTCGCTCTCGACCCGCGGATCAAGGAACTGTGTGGGTCGAGGCGCGGGCTCAAGAAAGGCCCACGCTGGGCTCGTGTGAAAGACTCCAAGAACACCCGTTGCTGAACCGTCGCCTGGACAGCAGGACCTGTCACAGGGACTTGCCGAAGCGGTGCCGGCGGGCCGCTGCGACCGCGCAAAAAAAACGATGGTTGCACACGTCGTGGGACTCGGACGGGAACCAGGGCGACAAAGGGGCGTCCGCCCAGTGGTTGGGCCTTGCACCGTTGGTTGCAGCAGAGTCCAAGTGGGCGCGGTCGGCTCACGATGCTCAGCTGTCCTCGGGGAGCGCCGTGGCCAGGAGCTCCCAGGAATGGTCCCCTCGCGGGATCCAGTCTGGGGGGTTTCGCTCTTCTTGGGAGAGTCGAGCAGGCGTTATTGAAACCACATTGGGCTCTCCAGAAATGGCTTTCCCTTCGAGGATCGAAGGAGTTGGTACCCCTTCCCCAGCGGAGGGCGGCGGAAGGCCATCGGAAGGCGGTGGAAATAAGTGGGGGGCGGCTCCGCTGGCGGAAGCTGGCGAGAGGGTTTGCGGAGGCCGGCGGAGACGAGAGAAGCGACCCCAAGAGGCTAGGTTTTTCAGTTCGAGACCTCCGGAGTCTGCCACATGGAGGCGCAGGACCCAAATCCGCTCAGCAGCGACAGCTTCGTAGCTGCGCGGTAACGCACGTGGGGGCACTTCGCGCACAGCCGAGCACGACATGTGGATCAGAGCTGGGAAGAGGGGACGGAGGAGGACGAGGGAGGATGAGGAGCAGCAGCATGGGAAAAAAAGGGTGTAGGGGGGGCGGAATGGATTGAAGTTGTGTCCAATACTTTCTTGTCGCATCGGCCCGTGCGGGCTGCGTGCTCTTCCTTCCGCCGGTGGACGTCTCGCTCGGCTCCCGCCGCGTGGTCTTATCCACGACCCGAGCGGTCCGCAAGAGGAGCGACGCTGTGTCGTCGAGGAGCCCCTGCACGCTCCAAAGGGAGGGACGGGGGGGGGGGAAACAGGACGACGGGGACGGGCAAAATGGGATAGTGGTAGCTGATCTCCACAAGTCAGCAAGAGCCCCCCCATTCACCATCGCCGTGTAGCATGCCAGGGTCCAGGGCGGCCCTGGCCAGGCATGGTGGTAGTGTATAGGTGCCTTCTGCGGAGCACGCTGCTCTCAGACATCCGGCGATGTGGTGTTCTCAATCCGCGACTCCAGAGTTCTCGACCCCTTCCCCGGGGTAGTGTTGCGTCCCCGATCCGTTCTTGATTGCCCCGGGCCCCGAGATCGGCCCTCGGAGGCTGACGTCGACGAAAAACCGCCTGGAAAGAAAGCGTCCATCCTCCCGATGTCTGGGCTGATCTTACCAGTTTGAATCATATTCCTATCCCTGTGTTTGGCATCACCTCACCTCGATGCCGATAGTTTGTCCCTCAGATTGTCCCCGAGATTGTCCTCGCTTTTTGCTCGCCCATCTCAGGGATAGGGATCAGTTCGAGGCTGGCTATGATCTCCGCATGCCGCACGCCAGGCTCCCGTCCGAGCCAACGTGCTCGTGCCGGCGGAGCTCCCCTGGGAGCGCACGCGCCC